TTTCTTTCCAAGAACGTTCTCTATAACTGAATCATAACTTACACGATACAGAATGACTTTAAAATACAATTTTTTAAAGGAAAACTTGATTTTGCACAAGAGGAATTGTAGAAATAATCCTAATATTGTAAATTCCGGGACTGCATAGGAAATCTTCTGCAAAGCAATCAAATTGTTTTTTCCTCCTTGAAATTAACAACCACCGTCAAACATACGATAATACATGTACTATAATATTATATGCAAAGAAAAATGATTATCGCTCGTTAAATAATTATAACGACTGTTTCATTCGATAGATCCTATGTCTGAATCGTCTTGATTATTTGATATATTCGAGCTATAATTGAGTTGAATAATCTTACACACACCGGCTATTTTTTTAGCAGATAATTATCTAATGGCATTTCGTACTTTCAGTAAATAACGACGAATAATTAAATACAAATGTTGAAACATACTGTATATGAATTATCATAAATTTATAATTAAATGAAATCGATTGTTCAAGTGAAATTCACTTTAAGGAACATCCAATGAATACGACATTTCAACAATAAATTACAATATGACAAATTCTCACAATCACAAGGAATTAATAAATAAAGAAAACAATCCACGTCGGAAATCTATAGTTACAGCAATAAAGTTTTCGTACTCATAAAACATTGTAAAGGAAAAGATTGAAGCATTATAGTAGATGCGAGAGTATCAAGGATAAAATGGCTACATAGAGAACCATTATTAAGAGATTCTATTTCTCTCGTCGTGGTTCTCAATTAGCAACGAAGCACTACCCGAAGCGCATTCGGAACACCCGTTCGGTCGATTCGACACTCGGCCAAACACAATCATTCTCTCTTATTACATTAATCTCTCTTTTCATCTCTCTTTTCATCTATCTATCCATCTATCCATCTATCCATCTATCCATCTATCTATCTATCTGAGAGTACTAACGGAGACGGATGGAGGAGAGAACTTGAGATCAAGATGGCGAACAACCAACTCAACTCACACTACTATATCGTTTTCCACGTTCCTCTCATCTCGAATTGGACAGGACATTCTCGAACGGCCTCAATCTCGGCATAATGTAATACGTGGGTGCCGGGAGCACGAGGAGTACCCGAATAAAAGACAACCGAGTCCCCTCTTCCTGGTGCGACGCGACGGCGCCGATGAACCAACGCCCTCACGCCTCCCCTTCCCACGGTCACATCATCCAACCACCGAACCTAACCGATGTCCTGGCGCGCACGTGTGTCTCCAGTGAATCCTCGGGGAGACGTTACGTTTACCTACACCGATCAAACGTCTCGCCCGGGACGAAGGTACACTGTTCTGTCGAACACGTGTTTTCGGCTGTTCAGATAAAATGGCCAATGTACATTTGACGCGTTGTTACTTTAGCGAAGATACTTTAATGTGCGATATTTTTTATCGTTTCGTTCCCTATGTGTACAAAGTTTCATTTTTTTTTGTTTTTGTTTTTTATTAGATTAAATTTGTGTCCCCGACTCGTCAAATTTCTGATAAAGAAAGTACATTGTTTAAAGAAATCCTAATTAATTAAGTGCCTAACTATGTTCAATAATGGTTAAAACTACTCCTCGGAAATAGCGGTGTTTATCACTTATTTCAAATAAAAAATTATAGTCATATACGTATGTGTGTATATATATATATATATATATAGTTTATCAATAATTGTTTATAATGATGCTTTTAATCGGTTAAGTACTGATAAACTTTCTGATAGAGACTCTCTGATACTTCTTTGTACAAAACATTACGCATGGTTGACTCCATGATTTCATTCGCCACGAGATTAACATATTGAAAAAAACTAGCGCCAATACTATAAATTTAATCCCAATGACTGCAGTGCCATTGGAATTAAGTGAGGAATTAAAAGAATCAGTTATCATTCTCATTGAATATAAAATTTTTTCATACACGAATATCCACCTGCTCCTCGAAACTGAAAAATTTCCACAGAAACTTTGAATAACGGATTCTTATATTTATCGATTCTAACAATCTTCGGCTATAAATTCTAAAAGAACGTGTATATATGTGTATTTATTATGATAATAAGTAAGTTTCTAGCAGCTTACAAAACAGCAAATAAATATACAAACTGAAATAACACAAGATTACGGCATTCTCAATACATTGTAATAAAACCATCGCGTTTAGAGAATTGAAGCCTATAAAATACAATGTATTTTACCATGTTTTTTAACGACCAACCATCAACAAAATCTAACGTTATGCTAATAAATTTCTACGATGTATTCTACATGGTAAATAATATTCATAACTTAGCGCTTTAAATATCTATGTATTCCGATATTATCCGGTGATAATTGAGGCAAACGTTTAGACGAAATGAAATTCATCTAATCTGAATTCTTATTCAATTTAATTGATCGATACTATGCACGAGAGTAAGCAGAATTGGCGGGGCATTAACTTACTATCTGAAATATGTGTACAAATTAGTTGAACATACGAAACAGGATTTATCTATTAATTCCGATTGCAAGGACATTTGCAAAATTTGATATTTAGCGTTGGTGGTAAAGGAGGGTGAAAGGTGGGGGGAAAGAAAAAGATAATGATAATGATAAATATATATATATATATATATATATATATATAGAGAGAGAGAGAGAGAGAGAGAGAGAGAGTTGCGGATTGGAGATTCTAATGGAATACTGCCAACACTGTAATTGAAAAGCGGCAGTATCGTTGGTAAAAGTCAAGAGAGAAAGCTTGGACGCGGCAAAACGCTATCGGTGCTGCTAGAAAATTCGCAAGCCATGCATCCTTGCACGCTTCTTGGTGAATTGAGGAGGCGACCGAAGGACGAAACGCGACATCGGCCCTCGCCACTCTCTTCCACGTTAAATCCTGTGTGACGCTTCGGCGATGTTGCGCGCGTCAAAAGGAGTCGTAGACAGTCAAGCAATCGGTGCGTAACAAACAAGTGCCGTGGGGAGTAGCTACGACGAGAACGACGAGGACAACGACGAGGATAACGAAGATGACATTGGCGTGGGTTTTCGTCGTGCCACACACAGGCTCTGCTGCGCGGCTATCGATTGCGTGCGCCCATTTTCAAAATGGCGAGGGGGCCTATACAGCGCACCGGCGCGTGCACACGCGAGCCTCGACCGGACGAAAATCGCCGGTACGCCGACCGCGGCCGTGCCGCCGGCACACGGCACCTTTAACGCGTAGCTATGGTAACAGCACCAAAAGCCCGCTTTCTCACTTGGGCGAGCGTGCGCGCAAGGAGAGAGAGAGAGAGAGAGAGAGAGAGAGAGAGCGAGAGAGAGAGAGAGCGAGAGAGGCCTTGTAATACGAATACGAGAAATGCTTTTGCCGACTGCCTTTTTCCCAAATTCTCTTCGCTAGTCTCGCCGATTGCCGCTGGTTTATGGCCAGTCGGCCTACCCGCGCTGTTTGCAAATAATGAAAGATTGGTCGAGATTAGAATTCGTCCGTTGGTAATATTTCAATATTTTAGGGGAAATTTTGCCAAAATAGTAGGATACTCGGTAGTTATTCGATAACGACACTTTCAGCTGTAATTTAGGTTATGTTAGTTTAATATGGACTCTAAGCCGACCATATAGTTACCATATATAGATAGACCAATAGAAGGTAATAATATTGGCGGTTAAGTAGTTTCGAAAAACTTTAATAGGCAGAAATATTAATTAGTCACTGCTTATACCTTAGTTCTCCATACATGCGTAGATCTATTACTTTTATTTAAATACGATTCGATATTTTCAAATTCAAAATATTAATTAGTTCGTTATATTTATATTTATATATATATATATACGTGCGTTTACGCAATTAATAACCGATTGATACACGTTTGTTGAAATGGTGAAATTCTTTTAAAATTTACCGATTCATTCGTATGTATATGAGACACGCAAAATAGATAAAAATAAATTTTACGGCCAAATCTGAAAGCAGGAAAACGGTTACTTTTCCGCGTGTTTGCAACACTAATTTGGAAGGGAAAAAAAAACCACACGTCCCTGGCTATTGAGGAATAAGCGCGTGCAAAGGGGAGGAAGAAGTCGAGTCGAGTCGAGTCGAGTCGAATCGAGTCGAGCTGTGGAAAGAGAAAGAAGATCACCGTCCTGCAACGTATAGAGAAGTATCTGCAAAGGATCGAGTAAAGAAGTGGCGTGAAGGACAAGCGAAGAGCAGGAAGATGCGACGAATCCTAGAACGTGGGTCTCGCTGAGACGATGAAAGAGGATGAGAGACTGAGAGAAGGCGACGGACGGTCGGGGGGGGGGGGAGTACAACTACCTTACGAGCGCGTCATCTTAAAAGGAATGGGACGTGATTCTTGCCGACTTTATATTTCTTCTATTACATAGCACGCGAGCCTCGTATATTTCGCCGTTCTCTCTCTGGTACGTACCTTCGGTGCAATTTAAGCGACACGAGGGAAAAAAAACCACGACTTTACGAGCAGGACTTGTCGCGCTTTCCGCGCATAGCATCGCCACCGGCAAGGAAACACCGCCAACACGCTCATAACGGTTTTTCAGCGGAACTTAGGCGAAACAAAGGACGAGCGGAACAGTTTCTAATGCATTTTATAAAGCGCGAGCGCGCGGAACAAGGGTTGGCGTGTGTTTGCGTTCACCAACTCATCCACTTGGCTCGGAGCTCCGCCGAGCATAAGGCCGAGTGGATAGAGAGAAAGAGCGAAAACGGGCGGCGACGACGGCGTCCGTTTCTACAAAGCAAGCGCACACTCACTCACTCACTTACTTACTCACTCACTCACCCACTCACTTGCTCTCTCCCTCTCTCTCTCTCTCTCTCCCACTCTCTCGAGCGCCAAATCTCCCCACCCCTCTATCTAACTCCCTGTCTATCTCTCACTCGTTCACTTATTTGCTCTCGTGCTCGAAGGATAACTCGAAAACGCTGGTCTCGGCGCGAAAGCTTACCTCTTGATGTCGTGGATATCCTCCTGGAGTGTGCGCGCTACTCTTCGTTTGGCCGAGAGCGGGCCGAACGTTACTCTTCTATCTCTCTTTAAATCTCGTTCGCGCTGTCTGTCCGTCTCTATCTCTCTCTCTCTCTCTCTCTCTCTCTCTCTCTTTCTCTCTTTCTCTCTCACATACAAATACCCTTTGGCCCTTATTCCGTGTGCGAGTTGTAGAGCGATTAGCTCGACCGGGACTCGGCGATGATCCTAGTAAGGCGGAACAATTTGCCACAGCCGCTCTTTCACAATATTATCAAAAATGCGTATTCACAAGGAGATTCTCGGCTCTCGCTTTACAAATTCACAAGTTCACTGACAATACTCGATCTTCGCTTGCTGGCACTAAATTGGCGAGCGCTCGTCGTCTCACTTACCGGCACAACTACTCCAACCGCTTGGTAAACACTACACTCAACGGCTCAACAATAATGAGAAAAAACTGGTCGTTCGTTGGCTTTAAATAAAAACGGGTGAGGGCCGAGCGCCAGGCTGCTTGGCTCATGCACGCGGGTGGACGAGGATGCCCGGTTGCGTGTGTAGCTGCGTGCGCGCGCGCGTGTCTGTCTCTGCGTACGTGGTGTGGACCTCTGTCAGGCGAGGAACGACGTCGGGGAACGCACGCGCGAGCAAAAGACCTGTGCACTCTCCGCGACGGCCGAGGAAAGAATGAGGGCCCGGGACGCCACCGCTGGCTCTCTTCTTGCTGCGCCCGACTCCCGACTCGGCCAACCGACAGAGACAGACAGACACTGTTGCCCCGTGTGTGCGCGCGCGTGTGTGGGTCGAGCCAGAGAGGGAGAAGAAAGCAGGAGAGACCGGCAGGGGCGGATACGGCGCGCGCGCGACTGCCAGCCGCTATCTCTCTTCCCCCCCCCCACCCAAGCCCCTCTACCCAAACGCCGCCGCCGCCACCCCCCCACACACAAAAAAAAAGGAACCCCCGCCCCGCCCCCGCCACAACGTGCCACCTCTCGCTCTCTCGCCCTCTCTCCGACTCGCACTCTCCCCCCCTCGCCGATCCCGGCCGTGGAGCTTTTGCTTCTGGCTGTCACGATCGTGCTGGCAAACCTGCGCGCGCGCATTTTCAACCTAGAGATGGAAATATAACCGACGGTGATAGAACGAGAGAAACCGGGGGAGATAGAGAGATAGAGATAGAGAGATAGAGATAGAGAGAGAGAGAGAGAGTGAGAGAGAGAGAGAGAGAGAGCAAGATAGATACGAGACTAGCGAGCGAACGATCACTGGTGGGGATGGGGATGGGACAGTGTATGAGTGCTCGGTTGAGCGAGTATGTGTGATTGTAAGTTGAGCGAGAAAGGGATAAGGAATATCAAGGAGAAGAATAGGAAACGGGACGGAAAGGCAAAGCTGTGTATTCGTGGTACCGGGGACAAAAGTGTGAGAAAAAGGATAGTCGCGAACGACATAGAGGGGGTGAGAAGAAAGAGAGAGAGAGAGAGAGGGAGAGAGAGAGAGAGAGAGAGTGAGAGAGAGAGTGAGCGGAGAGCGGGCGAACGAATGTACTCTTCTGCTTCTTTCGGGAAAATGGGCAAGGATATCTATTTTTTATCGTTTATCATCGTTCGATACTTATTTTTATGAGATAGCTGTGAGTGCATCTCCCATTCCACTAAATTTTCTTTCCTCATCCTCTTGCAATGAAAGCTTTGACATTTTTTTTTTTCACGATACCCTTCTAATTCTCTAACGTAATAACGTATTTGATGAGTCATTGACTTGAGATTATATATTCGTTGAAGCTGCACTCTCTTGCTGCTCTCTTTCTACAAGCCATCGCGCACACGCGCACGCACAAGCACACTTTCAAAATTAAACTATATTAGAAAAAGTCCATACGAACATTAAAAGTTATAGGCATCTACATTTTACGCAGATGACTACGTAAAAATTATACGACTCTTGAATGATATATCGAAGTATTAGAGAATCAATTCAAGCAACATTTCTAGTTAGGATGATAGCAAGTAAAGCTGGTGCTTTTACGTGAATAACCTATCGAGCAAAAAAACAGGATACGCGCTGAAGAAATTTTCGGGGGAAGTGTGGAAAATGTATATTAGAAAATATAGTTTAAAATGCAATTGCCCGAAAATTTTAAATAAATATTCAGAAATAGAATATGCAATCGCAAAGTGCGTTCAACTAATTTTTTTAATTTTTTTCGAAAAATTGCCAAATCGTGAGAATTAGAATAGCAAACGCACAAAGGCAATTTCTATCGAGCATATTATATATGTGCGCGCGCGTGTGCGTGTGTATGCGCGTGGGTGTGTGGATGGGTATATATATATATATATATATATATATATATATATATATAGAAAAAAAACTATGAGAAAATAGCTATTTAATACAAATAAATCCTTGTAAATTGGTATTTCTCAACATTAGCCACAGATAAGAATCAAACAAAATCCCTCCTCATCGCGCAATATTAATGGTTTAATGAGACAAATAAAAATCTAGTTTAGAAAGATTGTAATTTTTGCGAATGTTTTGTTAGCAGTCAATTGAAAGAATCGTTGGGCATTTGCCAAATTATATATATCATAGTGATTAGATATTATAACGACGAATTCACCAAATAAATAAATAAATAAAAGCCATGGGGAGGGGGGGGGGGAAGAGACGGAAATTGTATGGGAGAAAAAAAAAATGATAAAGTGCAAAATTTAATGAAATAAGTAAAATAAGCTTGCGAGGGAGTGTGTGCACGCGCAAAGGAAGAACTTAAAAGCAAGGAGAAAAGGAACCCAGAATAATTTACGAATTAAACAAAATAAGAGAAGTACGGAGACAGAGAATTAAGAAATACAAGTTTGCTGGAGCAAAGAGGAAAGGAGATAGAGCGAAGCGTGGGAGAGAGTGAGAGAGGAGAAGAGGGACTGCGAGTGGATGCGCGCACGCGTCCGTCTGTCGGGACACGGGGCTGGCTATGCGGCATTGAGGCTTCTAGGGTGGGGCCCTCGGACGAGCGGCTACTCACCTATCATCCTTTATCTCTCGCTCGCTCTCTCACTCTCGTGCGCGCGCGCTCGCACCCTCACTCCATTCCCGGTCCCCACTCCTCCCTGTCGCACTCACTTACTCACTCTCGTTCCCACCCCCCTGCAGCGGCTCCCGCTCGTAGGATACACTGAAATATACTCATAGGATGGACGCGTTGCTTCCTCCTCCTCGGCACACGCACGCCGCCACCGAGCACTAGATTCTGCATCACGTGTCCCCCCACACAAGTGTCCGTGCGTGAGCGCCGGGATTACAGAAGGATATGTATAGGACGAAGAAGTATAACGAGAATCGATCCTCGTAGCTGAGAGATCCTCGCTTTAAGGGCCATACCCTTTCTCTATCGCTCGCTCGCTCTCTCCCTCTCTCTCTCTCCCTCTCTCTCTCTCTCTCTCTCACTCTCTCTCTCTCACTCTAACTCTCACTCTCCGCGCCCCCGCCCTTTTGGTCTTCCTCTTTTTCTTTCTCTTGTTCGTTGTCTTTCTCTTTTTCTTCTATTTCTTTCTCGTCTTCTTCTTATTCTACTTCTTCTTCTTCTTCTTCTTCTTCTTCTTCTTCTTCTTCTTCATCTTTCATTCCGTAACTAAATACGATCGTCGAGGCTCCCCGGCAAATATTTCATATTTTTCCGTGGCGCTTTAAAGGCTTCCGAGGAATTTTACAAATACTCTCCTTCGATCACTGTTGCCGGAAATCTAAAGATGAGCCTGCCTGCCTGCCTGCCTGCCTGCCTGCCTGCCTGCCTGCCTGCCTGCCTACATCCTTGCGTCCTGCCTGGCCCCTAACGCACTCCGAGTCCTTGATAAAAATATTCAGCTTATTGTCATTCGCTGGCTGGAATTTATCGTCTTTAAGAAAGTTTTCTTTTTTTCTTTTTTTTTTTTTTTTTTTTTTTCCACGTATGCGGGAATACGCAGGGGGATAGCGGGCCGTTTTTCGAATTAAATGTTCACTTGGGCTCGGTCGCGAGTGTCGGGCAAAAATTGGCTTTATCCAAGGCATTATCGAGTGCGCTTTTAATATTTGCTCCAAGTTTGCAGACCCAAGTGACAGGGAAAACAAATTGAGCTTATTCAAATAGCCCAGCTACATAATAGCATTAGTAGAGTCCCAGTTCCCAGTCTATATCTATCCATTCGATATTTGATTAAACGAATGATTCATAAGGTAATAATGATATTAATATTTCATTAGCGTCGGTGCTCCTGCAGTCCTAATAATATTACATTACATTGGCTTTTGCGTACAGCACACGTACTTACAAATATAAGCCCCGACAAACTTCGTGCGATCGTTTACCTGTTGGAAATACAGGTTTTCAGAAAACTCATTTAAATTTTTTAAAATCATTTTGTCTGATAAATGGGCGAGCTCCGATATAATATTGAAATTTAGCGTTAATATTGCAATGACTCGGCGTTTGCGTATTTATTAAAATATTACTTTATGATTATAATAATTTGTTTGGAAATACTATTATCTCTCATGTTTTGTTAATATTATTAGAAACGCGCATGGTTTGAAATTATTATTGCGATATCCATATAGTTAATCAAGCTGCGAACATGAGAAACTCCTGTTCTCAATTTTACATTCAAACGATCGATATATACATACATATGTGTGTATATATATATATATATAT